CGGGGGTGTAAACTTTTTAGGATAATTTTTTTTTTTTTTTTTTTTTATGTATGTATTGGTTATGCAGCACTTTTAGACATTACTTTTCCCAGGCAGAAATAGTCAGAGTAATTCAAAGACAGGCAACTGTGCTTTTATTCATTTCCCATGTTCCAGTAACACTTGCAGCATCCCTGGTAGTGCACTCTTATTAGCATAGGAAACTCAATTCTGCAGTGGCATTGTTGGTCCAAATGAGAATTTTCACACATGGGTGGAAGGATGGCTTGTACATCTTGATTTTACAGTGCATGTATTGTATAACCTATATACGGAGTTGCAAACTATTTTTGATGAATACCTCATTCAGAACTAAATAAGTACGAGATGAAGCCAAGCTGTACGATTCCTTTCTGTGTGTATGTGCATGCGCGCACGTGTGAGAGAGAGTGTACAATGGGATACCAAATGAGTTGAGGACTCCAAGAAACATCGCACTATTCATTTTTAATAAAGCTTTAGATTTGTAGTAACTGATCTACTTGACAAATAAAATATTTTTATACATAAATACAAATACCTTTTTGATAGAGACAAATAGAACAAAAATTAGCTTAGTCTTTTAATTTCCATACCTTATACTTTTGACAAATAACCATCCACAAACCAGCTACTGAAGTAATAGTAATATTAACAAAGGCATCTGAGTTCACAACACACTGAACATATTTTGCAGCCAGAATACTACACTATAGTACGGGCTGCTTAAATAATTATGTATCAGATTAAATGCAGAACACCTATTAAAAATGAAACAGCATTTTGGAATAACATTTTTGTAGTCTATGTGAAAAACTGAACAACATGCTAATTAATTTTAGAGTGGCAACAGAGCAAGCTTAGCTCATCTGCTGATCAGTTTATGCTATAACATACAATTTGTTATAAATAAAATATAAAAGGGGAACTGGGGGTCCAGCTATAGTCAGGCTAATGGATTGTGTATTCTCTTCTTCCCAGCTGTTAGTTTTGTCACATTTTAAGATGTAATGGTACTTCTCTGACCTAGCAGAATGGACAAGCTATCAGGACGGTGTGGAATATGGGGTGGGTGGCCAAAATAAATTTGTGGAACTAGGGAAGTTGTGTTGCATCAGCAACTGTAACTAAGAGGACAAGCCCTTTTCCTCCTAACTCACAGCTCCAGGGATCTTACTACTCCATAAGGGACCTGGGGAAGCACCAGCACCCCAGAAAACTCAAGTTCCCTTTTACATCTTTAAGTTGTTCCCACTAGATCTGATGGCAGTCCAGGATCCTTCTACATCAAGGGTGGGCAATTATTTGGGCTGGTGGGCCACTGAGGGAGTTTGGGTGAGCTGTTGCAGGCCAGGTCAGCACCCCACTCTTCCACAACAGCTCACCCAAACTCCTTAAGTGGCCCACGCCTGGGCAGAGAGAACAATGGTTTGGGGAACCTGACCTTTATTTCCCGCTTCTCCCTGAATCCCCTCCCCCACCCCGAGTGCAGTTGTGCTGGCACTGCACTGTATTCCTGCATGCCAGCTTGGGTCATGCTGGGGCAGCAGGTGCAGCTCCTGCCCAACCCAGCCATGTGGTTGGGCAGGAGGAAGGAGGAGTGCATAGGGAGGTGAGGAAACAGTGCAGCACAGGCCTGGATGGCCAGTGGCTCTCAGCTCCCTTCTACCTGCACCCACTACCCCATCCCAAGTGTACATGGCAGGGTTGGGCAGGAGCTGTGCCAGCTGCACCCATGCGGCCTGAAGTGGCACAAGGGAATACAGCGTGGCACTGGCCCAGCCTGGCCATATGCTGGGGAGTCATGAGGGGTGCAAGGAGAAAGGGTCATAGAGTTACAGGTTGTCTGGATCTGGCCAGGCCAGTACCATGCCATTTCCCCCTTCTCCCTGAACCCATTCCCCATCTTCATTTCCTGGTACATGGTTGGGCTGGTGCCACACTTTATTCCTGAGTTTATTCCGCACTTCATTTGTTAGATTAGCCACGTGCTGGGGGCTTGGGGTCAGGCACGAGCCACACCAACTGCTTCCATGTGGTGCAGCCAGAAGTGGCATGCAGGAACACATCGTGGCACCAGTGCCCACACCTGTACCAGGCCCTGGCCTACCAGAGCCCAGATAACCTGCCGCTCCTGGCCCTCTTCCTCTTGCACCTCCTCCCCCACCAGCAGGGAGGACCTTACCTGACCTTCAACTCACCCAGTGCAGGGTCCGAGTGGTGTGCAGACAGCCTCATCAGGCAAAACCCTGGCCATGAGCTCAACTCCCCCCACCTTGGAACCTACACTGGAGGCCGGATGGTGGGACAGGGTGGGCCAGCAGGTGAGAGCAGGGGAGTGGCTGCTGCTGCTAGCTGCCACTGGGAAGGGAGAAAAAAGTGAGAGGCACTGAAAACCAGAGCACAGCTATGGGCCAGATACAGTTCTTCAAAGTAATAGTTGCAGGCCAGGTAAAATTTAGGAGGCCAGATCTGGCCCATGGGCTGTATTTTGCCCACCCCTGTACTACATGGTACCCTGAGGGCAAACTCTTATTCCCAAAGTCTGATTTTGTGCAGGCCACACACACTGGTCAGCCCAGAGAAGTATAAACCCTAGTGAACAGTACCAATACCAATACTACATTCCACATGATTCCAGTTATTTCGTCTACTCCTTTCCTTTATATGAAAATCCTACAGTGAAATCTAACAGCTTCTAAAGCAATAACTGGTCTAGATATTTGCTGTACATATCCTGGTCATGGCTGCCCAAATGCAAGATAATTCAAGAATAAAAGTGAGGAGGCCTACATCGTCATGTTCACTCATTCGTTCGCTACAACTGCACTGGAACAAAAATAAACTATAAGGCCATATAGCAAACCTGACTACTTTTTATAGCCAGACCCCGATTTCAAGAATTCCAGTGAAACAGGCTGAAAATTCCACAACTTTGGTTAAAAAGCTTTCGATCTGCAAATGATCTAACCTCAATATGAAAATGACCAGTGGAGTCACTGAAGTATCCCTTCTGTGGTGCTGTCCTTCATGTTTTTAAATTGCTATAAGATGCATTAGAATGCAGAACCGCACCAAAAAATTCCTCTTGCTTTTATTCCTGGAAACTGTGGTGGCTTTTGACATACAGATGGAAACAGAAGACATTTTGGGTTTGAGAACTAAGCTTGTATCATGTTTCTGCTACAATGACCTGCAGTGAAATAGCAAACACATACATTTAAGTTCTCAGCATCATGCTCCTCCTCATATCAACACCAAAATCTGCTGAATGGATGCAGTCCCTACCCTCACCTGTATTACACTGGGCTGTTTGTAGATGCAAGCAAATATCCTTGTACTAATTACATGTTGCTCGTTTTGGCAGGTTTCAGTTAAAAGCTCAAGTAACAGAGAGACTTTTTTAAACAAAAGTTTAAATACATAAGCATAATGTTTAAAACAGGATCTAGCTTATAAAAATGCAGCAATGTATAAAACTCAGACTGGTTGCAGCCTTAACTGCTCTTAATATAATTTGACCACTTTAAGCATAGCAGACTGTATTACAGGTTTCCCTTGTTTTATGCTGTACATACATTCTTGGAAAACGGAAAGTAACCTGAATTTGCATTAGGGGAACCCACTTCACAATGTAACAAATAGTGATACATTCCAAGACCTCGACTGTACTGACCCCCCAGACTCATTTCTACCACTTTTACAAGACAATTTTGGTACTTACCAACAGCAGACAGTACACACAAGTACAGGGCACTATCCTAATGGGGATGGCAACAACAGAAACAAGTCGCAGACAAGTGTGAAGCACAGATGCATATAGGAGACTATATTTTGGTGCACGATTCCCACAACACATCGCACAAAGCAGCTGACTGCAGGCTTCTACCACACTGATCGTGGAAGAGTGAATTTACCTCGCGTATAATGAATTACTGGTATAAAAAGGGTCATCACATAACAGTGAATTCGAATATACAGAACCCGCATAAAGCGAGGGAAACCTGTATTCTAAACTGCCTGAGATTATCTATAATACAATGTCCTATATAAAAACTATTCAACATCAGCCCTAACAACCTCTGTAATTTAGTAAAATCCTCCCCTTGAAGCATACAGAAGGCACCTTTCATTTAACTATTCATTTGTAAAAGGTATATGTGCATATAACTGTTGCCTCCTATTTTATGATTGCTTTGGTGGTCCTCCTATAAGATGATTTGCATTCTTACACCAAGGTAGTAATTTCTATTTTAATGTTTTTGCTGCAGTCGTATGTGTAGGTTGCACATTTACATAAAATTTAAGATGTTTGTGTATTTTCTTACTCTTTAATAAGCTGTGCAAAGCTTCGGGTGGCGATTCGATTCTGAGGAGATTCAGCCCGATTCGGTGGCCGAATCTCTGAATCCAAATCGAATCAGGGGACCAATTTAAAGGTCTGAATTGATTTGAAGCTCTCCGAATCTTCAGAAAAGAGGGAGCTGCAGCTGACTTGGAGCTGCTAAGTACTAGGGATGGGGCAAGTGGGCTGGGGGAGGTGGAGGGGTCATGGGGGGACCCAACCCCCCCGCTCCCACAGCCCCCCCCACTTTCCCAGCAGCCGCACAGCTGCCCCTGCCCGCCCCAGCTCAGTACTTTAAAGAAAAGCCCCGTGCTCACTGGGTGCTGCCAGGTGGGGGGGATCCTTACTACCCCCACTGCCCCATGCTGCATGGGGGGGCTCTGCCAACCCCCCCCCCCAGCTCCCTCAGCCTCCCCACAGATGTCCCACCCCGGCCAGCTCCGGCCCTTTAAGAAAAAACAAATAAGAAAAGCCCCAGGACTCACCACTTCTGGTGTATCCTTGGGGCTTTGGGGCCTCATGCAGAGCCCCCCACGTAGCATGGATCATCCCTCCCCACCCCCCAGCAAAAGTGGTGAGTCCTGGGGTTTTTTTCGTGTTTTTTTTTCCTTAAGGGGCCAGAGCTGGCCCATGTGGGGCACCTGTAGGGGGGGCTGAGGGAGCGAGGGGGGGTCAGGGGCTCATGCAGAGCCCCCCCCCGCAGCATGGGGCAGTGGGGTTCACCTCCTGCCTGGCAGTACCCAGTGAGTCAGGACTTTAAGTGCTGGGAGCTGCGGCAGCCATTGGCAGGCTGGGAGAGGGGTGGGGGATGGACCTGGCCTGGCTGATTCGAAGATTCAGATGAAACGAATCAGGACAGTAATTTGACTCACCAAATCGAATCACTGTCCCCTGAATCGGCTTTATCCGAAGCGAATACTAGCCACTTTGCACAGGCCTACTCTTTAACTGTTATTAAGCAGTTATTTTAAGTTTCCACATGAGCAGGAATACCACGCCCAGGTGTGCCACAGTACAATCCCATAGTTATGGAGTCTAGTGAGACTGCTCCTGCAGGATTCTATTCTTAGGCATCTATGTGATGCCAAATTCTGATCTCCAACTCTCTTCCCATGGAGCAGTCTGCTTCCATATTGTCGTCATGGGGGACTTCAATTATCCAGACATCTCCTGGGAGAAATGCTCGTTCAAGTCGGACAGGTCGCGTTCCTTCCTGACCTGCATTGAAGAGGTCTTCCTGGCTCAGGAGGTGCACGGGACAACCAGAGGTAATGCTCTCTTAGACTTGGTCCTGGCCAAAGGAGACAACTTGGTGACAGACTTAAAAATAGAGGGTAGCCTGGGTGCCAGTGACCACAAAACCATCACATTCACTGTCTGTCGCAAGGCAGACAAATCTGATAGCAGGATTGAAGTCTTGGACTTCAAAAATGCAAATTTCAACAAGCTTAGGTCACTAGCAAGGCAAGTGCTGCAGGACCCAGGATGGAGAACAAAAGGTGTACATGAAGAGTGGTCATTCCTTTAGGACACAATCCTTGAAGCACAAAGGAAGTCCATTCCCATGTGGAGAAAGTGTAGCAGAAGGGATAGGAAGCCCTCCTAGCTAAACAGTGAAACCACGGTCCTCCTTGGAAAGAAAAAAGAGGCATACAAACAATAGAAGCTAGGGACAGGCCCCAAGGACTATACAACAACAACCCACATTTGTAGGGAACAAATTAGAAAGGCTAAGGTACCAACTGAACTTAGATTAGCAACGGGAATCAAGAACAACAAAAAGTCCTTCTTTAAGTACATAGGGAACAAGAGGAAAGCAAATAGGAGTTTGGTGCCACTGGTCAACAACTCAGGACAGCTGGTTACTGACACTCCGGAGAAAACTGAACTCCTGAATGACTATTTCACTGAGCCACAGGGAAAGTCATGCTGGATAAGGTACAGAATGAGCAGGGCAGAAATTACTGCTTTTCTACTGTAACCATAGAACTGGTGTATAATCAGTTAAAGAAATTAGACATACATGTCAGCAGGACTGGATAAACTCTATCTGAGGGTACTGAAGGAGCTGGCTGACGTCATTGCAGAGCCCCTGGCAAAACTGTTCCAAAACTCGTCGTGCTCCAGAGAGGTCCCTGAGGACTGGAAGAGGGCCAATGTTGTGTCCACCTTCAAGAAGGGGAGGAAGGAGGTCCCGGGTAACTATAGGCCTGTTAGCCTAACTTCTATCCCAGGGAAAATCCTGGAAAAATTCATTAAGGAATCTACGTGCGATAGGCTTGCAGAAGAGAGGATTCCGAATGACAGCCAGCACAGCTTTGTCGCAGGCAGGTCTCATCTTACCAACCTCATCTCCTTTTACCATCAGCTAACTTGTCACCTGGATAAGAGAGAAGTGGTAGATATTGTATACCTTGATTTCCAAAAGAGCCTTTGATCTGGCATCCCACGATGTTCTTGTGAGAAAATTGGAAGAGAGTGGGCTTAACTGCAAGACAGTTAAGTGGGTATGAAGCTGCATGTGGGGTAGGGCCCAGAGAGTCCTAATGAAAGGATCTATGTTGTCCTGGCAAGAAGTGGGCAGCAGTGTCCTTCAGGGGTCGGTGCACGATCCTCTACTTTTCAAGATCTTTACCAATGATTTGGATGAGGGGATGAAGAGCTCACTGGCCAGGTTTGCAAATGACACCAACTTACGGGGAAGCGTGGTCACGCTTGAAGATAAGCTACAGATTCAGGCGGAGCTAGATGGGCTAACAAGTTGGGCGAGTCAGAACCAGATAAAGTTCAATGTTGAGAAATGTTAAGTGCTCCACCTGGAGACGAACAATCCCTTGCACAACTACAGGCTTGGCAACGCCAACCTGACCAGCACTACGAATGAAAGAGACCTGGGGGTAATAATAAACCACAGCATGAATATGAGCCAGCAGTGCAACTGTTGCCAGCAGGGCAAATAATACTCTGGCATGCATCAATCAATGCATCTCAAAGAAGACCAAGGTGATTCTTTCACTCTACTTGGCACTCGTGAGACCCTAACTGGAGTACTGCATCCAGTTTTGGGCACTGCACTTTAACAAGGACATGGTAAAACTTGAGAGTCCAGAGAAGGGCCACCCATATGATTAGAGGCTTGCATGACATGCAATACAAGAAAAGCCTGAGGGACTTGGGACTCTTCAGCCTGAAAGAGAAAAGGCTGAGAGGGGACTTGGTAGCAGCTTACTGCTATATCAGGGGAGTACATCAGGGGCTCGGTGAACAACTGTTCACCAGGGGAAAACTAGGAGTAATGGCTACAAACTTCTGGAAGATTGATTCAGGCTCAACATTAGGAAAAACTTTGATCAGGGTGTCCAGACTATGGAATAAGCTCCTTCCAGAAGTGGTGCAATTGCCTACCCTGGAAATCTTCAAGAGGAGACTGGACAGTCATCTTGCTGGGGTCACTTGAACCCACCTGTCATTCTTCCTGCCTGGTGCAGGGGGCTGGTCCCTTCCAACCTTACAATCTATGAATCTATGAGTCCATTTTATGTACAGCTCTCCTCTAGTGAAGAGCCACCCACATTAGCTGGTGGAGAAAGAATGTTTGCGACAGGTTTCTTCTGTCTGTCGGCAAGTTAACTGAAGTTATTGCCCTACAAGGGAATGAATTAATAGGATGCATTTTGGGGCCAAAGACATCTGATTTGTGACTGAACATATTTTGGAAAGCCACAGCATTTATAGCAAATATTTATTCAGTGCTTAGAAAAAGATTATGGAAAATTTTCAGAAACAAAAAAGGTCTTTTGCAAGAACATCCATTCAACATTTTGTAACTGATTACTGCCACTAAAATGCACATGTATTTTGGGATATCTTGTATACACACATATTTCAAAAGCTATGTAGCTATCATCCTGAGTAATCTACAAAGAGACGTAAATTGAACTATCCAGTTATGGGACATTTCTATTGACAACCAAGGACAAAACCATTCATAGTAGATATTTAAAAGTTTAATGTGCCTTTTTATCAAGGAAGGCAAGAGATATCCATGGCTATGTTAACAAAATCTGTCAGTGTCATTTTAAAGCTGTATAGCTGAACCTTCGATATAGTAAAAGACACATACAAGAAACATCTTTATGAACAGTAGATGGAGATTAGGTTTGTGTTACAATAAACCAAGCTTGTATTCCATCATTGTATGTGGCTCTCCCATAACTTCACTTTGTGATGGGTCTGAAAAAAAGAGAACAAGAAAGACTTAATATTTTACTCAGCTAGTAAAACTTTGAAAAGCAACTTCCCAATGCAAGATGAAAATTTCCCCTCAAGAAGTATATGTTCATATGAACAGACACCCCATGATTATCCAGAAGAGTACGCCAAACCATGAGGTACAGGGCCTTTCACTGGGGACTACACGGACTGAAATTATGGAGAAAAGAGCAGGCTGACCCCATTTCACACCAGCTAATGTAGTAGGAACATGTGCATAGGGAACAATACATTCTGTCCTAATATGCCCCTGTGTGCACGAGATTGATTTGGTCTCTTCACCAATTCCTAACTAATGCTCTTCCAGTGATGGTGAGGCTTCATTGTCAAAGTGCTGGAGGATAAGAGACACTCTTCCAAGAAAAAGCTTTTAACAGTGCATTAAATAGCCTTTTAATACTATTAAAATAAGGGTTAGCAGAGATATATTACCAATACCCCACACATCCTTGCTCCACATGTAAGGAAAGAACTGTCAAAAGCAAACATCCCCATCAAGTTTATCCCTCCTCTTTAAAATCCTGGACTAAAAGAAAAATAAAATGTGTTTACAAACTTTCATTCCCTTGAGTACATACAGAGATCTTGACCACCCAAATTTCAATTTCCCCCTGATAATATTGGGACTCCTCGCAGCTCACAAAACCCTTGAAAGTATATTTACCATTAAGAATATCCTCAAAACCAATGCATTCATCATTTCCTCTCAGGGTATCCAGTGCAATGTTTGAACTATGAAGAAATGGAAGACGTTGTACCTATGAAAAAGACAGTAAGTCACAGTTTGTGCAAGTTTCCCACATATATCCCCAAGTCGAAATTCTCAAAAACAAACAGCTAAAATAATGTGTTTTGTGGGAAATGACAGATACAATGGACATAACTACTGAGATATTCTAGTTTGCATAAATATATCTCAAGATTAGTTACAAATCACCTCCTGTTCAAGGCACAGGATGACAAGAGAATGCACATGTAGCACAAACAGTTTTAAATTTCAGTTGAATTAAAAAAAAAAAAGATATTCACTTTCCTTCCAAAAATGTGTAAAAAGCTCTGCAAAGTCTCTTTCCCTTGTGTAAAGAGTTCAGATCAACAATCAGCAAGTTAATTTTCAGTATCTGACTAGCTAGTATATTTCCAACATTTTTTTTTTAACTCAATAATCAGAAATTTAAAAAACCATGTCAACAGCTATGCTACAATTTTATATTGTATACATTTCTCACAGTATTCCGGGTCCCTGGGTGTTAGCACAGCCAAGGCTGGGCATTGTGACTAGGCTGTGCCAATGCTCCGCTGGCGCTTTAAGCCAGAGAGGTTCCTGGCTAGAGCAGTGGTGGGAAATTATTTGGGCTAGAGGACCATTTAGGGAGTTTGGGTGCACTGTTGCAGGCCAGATCAGCACACCTGCCTCCCACCCGTAACAGCTCACCAAAACTCTAAGTGGCCTGGACCCCCACAAGCAGGGTGAACTCAGCTGGGGGGTGGGATGGGGCCGCAGGTGGAGGGAATGGTGTTGGGGGGCAGGATGGGAAGGCAGGACTGGAGCCAGGATCACAGGGCAGTGGCAGTACGGCACAGAGACGCCCTCCCACCCAAGCCTTCCTTGAGCCGAACCCCACCCTCCTTCACCCGCCCCACCCTTCCCCCCAACATACACCTACCTGCTGGGGGTGGTGGTGGTGGTGTATGTCTACATACATCCATGCCTGGGGAGGTGGGAGGCTGGAGGGTTGCTGGGGGCCTTTAAATTTTAAATCACTGCTTTTGAAGTTACCAGAGAATTTGCAATTTTTTAATCAGGGAAAACCAGGTTCCCTGATGATCACAGTATCAGAAAATGTTGAAAGGAAGAGGGGCAGAGAATTTGTAATTTTGACATCTTCCTTTCTCTTTCCAGTCCAACAAATTCCTCTTATCTGCAAGAGCAGGGATTCCCTTCCTATGAAGTTCAAAAGCTTTGCATGGAAAGCAGGACAAAGATTATTGTTTTTAGGAACCAATACTGCATTCCTGTGGCTCTGCTAAATTCTGCAGAAAGGGAGAACACCCAGTGTTAAACTGCTCAAGCCTACTTTACCTGGTGTTAACTGAAGCAGCAACTCCGAATGTTTCTAAGATGTAAAGTATTAAATGCAATTGAATTACTGAAAGAGCTATGTTAAGAGTTTGCTTTAAGCAGCTATCCAACATATTTTGAAGTAAACAGATGCTTCTAAAAGAACCCTTTTCCAGATACTGAAGTTAACTCAAGCAATTTATTTTTCCAAAATAACTAAAAAAGGCCTACCTGTTTCACTGCTTTGAATTCCATTTGCAGCTTTAAAGGTGCATGGAGTCCTTGAATATTTCTCAGTGTTGCAAAATTCATTTTATCCTGATTCAGTTGAAACTATAATGAGAAGACTTTTTTGAGAGAGATGTCTTCAAAAACAGTGACAGAAAAAGTATTTCTAAAATTGTTTTTCAGTGAACATGCTAATGAATCAAATCACCAAAAAATGGAAATACAGAAAACAGATATTGTTTACCAACATCTTGGTGTACATGAAAAATACCCAAACATTAACATATTTTCTTTTAAGCGAGAAAGCAAATCTCACTGGTCTAGTCGTAAAGTCAAGTATGTTAACCCTACCTGTTATGTTATTTTTGTCAGAATATATTTGACTCCACCTAGTAGTATAGACATGTATTGATCTGTATTCAAAACTATTCAATTCCAAGCAAGTGTTAATAAAAATATTAGCAATATTAGCAATATCCAAGCAAGAAATAGAAAAGCTAGGTCACTAGATTTAAAATGAAAAACCAAAGCAGGCCTTAGAAACTGACAAACAATTCATGTCCCTTTTTTGACCATTGTTTTTAAAAAATAAATAAATAAATAAAATCAATTGACAGGTTCTCTCCTAAATCCAGCACTAGAAGTTTATAGGGCCCCAGAAACTAGGCATTATTTCTCTTAAATATATGTTATACACTTTTTTCAACATATAATTCAGAAAAGTAAATGCTTAGTCTAGATAAGAGATTCTCAATTGAAGTGCCATGAGATCCTTTTAAGGATGATGCCCTGCCACACTTATTTCTAGGAGACACTATGCAAGGCTGGAGTTGGAAGTGGCTGCAGCAGGTACAGGATAGCCCATGGCAGCCCAACCTGATGGGAGCTGCAGTCATGAAACTGGTCCTGCTGACCCATCTAAGAGCCCAGACCAGCAATACAACCACCACAGCCAGAATACAGCAAGTGTTTCCCTTACCCCAGTGCTTCCCAGGGGGCAAGGAGTACCTCCTGGGATCCATGCATTCAAGCAAAGGCAGGGGTGCAAATCTCTCTTGTGCAGGGAAAAGGAGGAGTGCCTTCTGCTCACATATGAAGAATTTACTATTCAATTCAGAATAGTTGTGGAGGAGTGCTTTGGGCCTATAAAGCAAGGGTGGGGATTATCTGGGCACAAGGGTCACATATAGTTGATGAGCTGTCACAGGCCAGGTCAGTAACCCACACCCCTCCAACAACTCACCCAAACTCCCTATGGGGCTTTAACTGGATGGGGAACAGTGTTTTGGGGCAGATGAGGTCAGGATCATAGGGCCAGTTCCCTGGGTGGTGACAGGTCAATTCCAGGGTTTGGGTGGAACTGCGATCCACTCCCTGCATGCCCCTGCCGTTACAGGGTATATGTACAGGGGTGTGTGTGTGTGTGCGTGCGTGCGTGTGTGCTAGGTCCCAGAAACCAGCTGGGAGTAAGGGAAGGGGCACATGCAACAGAGCTCTGACAGTCTGCAGCTGCCCCTGCAGCATTCTGCTTGGCGCAGCCCATGCCATGCTCCTGCCCGCACCCACCAGCTCAGCAGCTCAACCCCAACCCTGGCCAGCACATAGCTTCCAGTGGGGCTGTTCTGGGCATGTATACAGCCAACTGGGTACTGCTCTTCTTCCCTCGCCTCCAGCAGCAACAGCACCTTCTCCTACCCCTGTTTTGCCATTCTGGGTGGGCAAGGAAGGAATCATAGAAAATCAGGACAGGGAGGGACCTCAGGAGATCAAGTAGTCCAACCCCAAGCTCAAAGCAGGCCCATCATCAATTTGATCACCCCAGCCAAAGCTTTGTCTGAGTCTCAAAAACATCCAAGGATAGAGGGTCCATAACCTCTCTGGGTAACCTGTTCCAGTGTTTTACTACCCTCCTAGTGAGAGAATTCTTCCTAATTTCTAACCTAAACCTCCGTTGCTGCAGTCTAGCTCCATCCTCTTTCAAACACCCTTTTAGGTAGTTGAAGGCTGCTATTAAATTTCCTCTCAGTCTCCTCTTTTCCAGACTAAATAAGCCCACTATCCTCAGCCTCTCCTCAGAAGTCATGTCCCCCAGCCCCTTCACCATGGTCGCTGCCCTCCACTGGACTCTCTCCAATTGGTCCACAGCCTCTCTGTACTGGGTGGGCCCAAGACTGAACACACTAGTCCAGATTTGGCTTCACAAGTGCTGAATAATCACTTCCCTTGACCTGCTGGCAATACACCAACCAATGCAGCCCAGTATGCTGTTTCCCTTCTTTGCAAGAAGGTCACACTGTTGGCTCATATTCAGCTTATTGTTCTGCAGAGCTGCTGCCCAGCCAGTCAGTCCCCAGGTTGTAGCAGTGCAGGGGACTGTTTGTTGAACCTCACGAGATTTCTTTTGTCCCAATCCTCCAATTTGTCTAGGTCACTCCAAACCCTAGCTCTACCCTCCAGCATAGCTACTAGTCCCCGCAAGTTGGTGCCATCTGCAAACCTGCTGGGTGTACATTCTGTATCATCTTCCAGGTCATTGATGCAGATACTGAAGCTTTAGCTGGGCAGCTGCTGCCCCAGCCATCTTCCACCAGCTTGCAAATGGCTGCTCCTTGCTCCAGGCGGGTGGAGCAGATGGAAGGCACTCAGGAGCTGGAGCCAGAACTGTGTGCGCCAAGGCAGAAGGCATCCAGCTGAAGCTCCCCCGTCCCTCTGCTTAGAGTAGCATAACGAGGGCAGGACCAGAAGTAGGAGCCATAGCTAGAAGTAAGGCGAGCAAAGCAGCACCTAGGCAACTGCAGCTGCACCAGGAAGTCCTGCTGGAAATTATGCATGCTGGCTGGGGCCTGGGCTGGTGGAAGCGCAGCATGGACTGCCCTAGAGTACTACGGGGGCATCCACAGTCTGGATTCAGCTAGCTGGGGTCAAATCTGGCCCAGAGGCTGTATCCTGTCAGTTGGGCAGCAGATCCAGCCCACAAGCAGTATTTTGCCCCCTCCCATAAAGGTTGAGAACTCTTCATCTACAGCGGTTGTTCTCAACCTTTTTGGACATGAGGTACCCCTCATTGGATTCAAGGCACCCCTCCATAACTTTTGTGAATGGAGTGGCACTCAATTTCAAAAATTAATTTACATATTGCAGTGCTTACATCCTTGCAGAGGGGCTGGACAGTGAGATTGGGGGATTGGTCATTCACAGACAAATCTAAGGCTGCAATTATCTGATTATTTTTTCACACCTGGCTTATCTCCTCACACTTCATTGCACCCTTCAAAAGATCTGGTAGCACCCTAAGGTTTCACAGTACTCAGACTGAAAATCACTTATCTAGAGTCTAGACTTTCAGTACGTGCTCTTGGAATTAACTGACAACATGAAGTATACTCCGCAAATCCACTTAGGTAGATACTGGCTTCTAAGAATAAAATAAGTTTTGATGGACTAAATAATACTACAAAATACAAATAAAGTGATTTTAAAGTTTTGAAAATTAGAGTGGTTTAGTTTTGGCTCTGAGTTTTGCACTGATGTATTGATAAGAGCTGCACAATCCATAATAGAAGATAGCAATAATATTTTCCCCAAATTCTGTTATCTGTTTTCTATTTCACAAACTACAATGTCCATGGCAACAGTCTACTGGTAGAAGTACACCAATGTTAAATCCAAAAACATTTCAACCGCAAGCATGCAGGAATATAAATGAAGAGGAAAACTATTCCTCTCAAAACACAACAAAATGGTCTATTTTCAGTAGAAGACCAGTAACAACAACCTTTAAAAAAATTACTGTTATTTGCCAACTGTTTTCTACTTGAAGTAAGATACAGACAGCAGGAAAAATGTAGGTTTTAAAGATTACCCCTCCAAAAACAAACAATTTTAAAGCTGAATGATAATGGCATTAATTATAATGAAATGATACAGTTACTATGCATTTTATTGCCCTTCATACTAGAAGCCTGCCCATATATGAATGATGTATTGAAACTGTAGAGGTCAAGAAATTAGCAATAACAATGGCTTGAAATTCAACTTTATATCAGTGATACTAAATATAAATAAAAAGTAATTAAAGTCATTGCCACACTTACATTTTTTTCTGACAATTCCAAAGGATGGCTGGGCAACAGTTCATTTTTCACGCTTGTAAACCTAAAAATAAAACAAAATGTAATGTCACAATTTTCTAATCTGTATTCTGATTAATTCCAGATATAAGCTTGATGGCTGTGGTGAAAAAGTAATTTGAAAATTAGCATCTTCCTCAATGGTGTAGCAACACAAGAACTAAAATTATAGGAAAATCATAACAATAAAATATGTATAAAAACTTCAGTCCACTTTTCCTCCCCTAATTAAAACTCAACACAGCAGCAGTCACTGACTCCATTCACAAATGGACATATCTAACTTGAATGGCTGCCTTTGGACTTCACAGATCTACACAGCATGTGCTTTGATGTTGCAATCACTCTGACTAAATTATTTCAGTCTGGATAGCATGCAAACTTAAGATTTTCTTCTGTACCTATATGATATGAATGTTACATTCCAAACATACTTATATTTGTTTTAGAATTATATTATTATTACACAAATTGTATGCACACAGTTTTGGCAACCTGTTTTATACACACTGTCACGAAGTGAAAGGATAAGACTTTTGAATCAAATTATTAATAGTAGTTGGGTCACTATTAGAAGAACATACACCGTTGTCCACTTTATTTGTTACGACTGTTGAGCTTGCACTTTTTGGATGCACGAGAAAAGGGAAGATAATTAAAGCTTTGTTCCGTTGCTCATATCCTTAGACAGATGATTAATAACAGGCCTGATAACATTAACATGTAAGCATAATGTTTAAACAGGAAATTCAAGCTTTATGCAGGACAACTGTACTGTTAAAACAGTGAGAAAATGAGAAAGACTGTCCAGGGAAGTCATAGAAAACCTCCTTTTACTGGAAGTTTTCAAGATGAGGGTGGATAACCATTGGGCAGGGATGACTTAGGAACAGCATTCCTGCATTCATGCAGAGGGATGAACTGGATACCCCTTGAAGTCCCCCCCCCCACTGTATGATTCACCAAAAGTAACTTCTGACAAACTATGTTTACCAAGAAATTTCTATTCAGAAATAACAGGCGCATAGTATGCAGGAAGAAAATATCATATGCAGTCTTTGAATTATACTTCGACTCTTTGGGGGTTGGAGGTGGTGGCAATGGACAGAAGCCGCAAGGCAGTCTGGGAGCAGGCTCTGGGCAGCTGCAGCAAAAAGCACCCGGCGGCAACAACGTGGGGAGGGCCCGCTTTTCCCCAACGCTAAACAGCAGTTTCTGCCCAGCTACTGGGGGGAGGCTCCCGTTTTTTCAGGGGGGGGGGGAGCCTTAGCCCCTCTGAGCACCACCCCCGGTAATTCGAACCTTGCTCATATGTCCTTTGATTTAAACTTATTATTGGACAAGGTACTAACAAGACAGTAAAGCGTACCCTCTGCGCAGAATATCATGACCTCCAAATGGCCCACTTGCTGAAAACTCAGCAATTGGGATACTGTCCTTCAGCTGAGATCCAGATCCTCTGGAATTCTGAAACAAAAAAAAAAAAGTGAGGGTCACCTTAACAAATTACACCTCATTTAAAGTACCTCAGACGACTTAAAATTTAATTGATTTTTGGTATGAGGGCCAATATATCTGCCAAGTTAGTCAGTGGATCTTTGAAGCTACATGTGCACGAGCCTTATGTTGCAGGACTGCTTTAAGATTTTAGTTCCACTTGATTAAGCATAAGGTGCTTAAGCCTCTTGGAATAACGCAATAATGGTAACACCTTATCCACTATGCTTTTCTGTTCATTCTCAACAAGAACAGCTGCTGTCTTTTACTATATGTACATATAACGCCTACTTACGGGGTGGCCGCCAAATGAAATTTCTGGGCACTAAAGTAATACAAATACCGGGGTGATCAAAAAGTTCTAAGACTTAGCCTTTATTTTAAAAAATAGTGTACAAACAACATTTTTATGAGCTGCCCCCTTCAAAGTAATCTTCCCCCAGATGATATGCACTTGTCCCAACGTTCCTGCCACTTTCAAAAGCAATGCTGGAAGTCTTCAACTGTGAGTTTTTTGAGTTTCACTTTCACATTCTTATGGATAGTTGGAATGTCATCAAATCTCCTTCCTTTCAGCTTCATTTTGATTTTTGGGAACAGAAAAAAAAAAAAAAAAAATCACATGGGGCAAGGTCAGGTGAATACGGAGGGTGTGGTATCACAGGAATGTTTTTTTCGGCCAAAAATTCTTGAATGG